GCACGACCACACCACCAGCACGACCACGCCCCAGCACGACCACACCCCAGCACGACCACGCCCCAGCACGACCACAGCCCACACCCCAGCACGACCACACCCCAGCACGACCCCACCCCAGCACGACCCCACCCCAGCACGACCACGCCCCAGCACGACCACACCCCAGCACGACCACACCCCAGCACGACCACTCCCCAGCACGACCCCACCCCAGCACGACCCCACCCTAGCACGACCACACCCCAGCACGACCACACCCCAGCACGACCCCACCCCAGCACGACCACACCCCAGCACGACCCCACCCCAGCAAGACCACACCCCAGCACGACCACACCCCAGCACGACACCCACCACGACCACGCCCCAGACCAGCACGACCACGCCCCAGCACGACCACGCCCCAGCACGACCACGCCCCAGCACGACCACCCCCCCCAGCACGACCACCCCCCAGCAGCACGACCACCCCCCAGCACGACCACCCCCCAGCACGACCACACCCCAGCACGACCACTCCCCAGCACGACCACACCGCCTTGGTTGAGTGGTTGCCTGTCGTCGTGGAATGTTTCGTGGGGTGTCTCGTGGAATGTTTCGCGGGGTGTCTCGTGAAATGTTTCGTGAGGTGTCTCGTGGAATGTTTCGTGAGGTGTCTCGTGGGCTGTTTCGTGAGGTGTCTCGTGGGATGTTTCGTGAGGTGTTGCCCAGTTGGGTATCATGAAAACGTGTCCATGCTCCACATGTCTATATCCCTTTCCGGGTTCGTGGGCCCATCATGTTTTTCAAGTTTGGCCCGCGGTCTAGACTTGCACAACAGACCACAATTCAGACCCCCCTCACCTCCAAAAAAAGAACCCAGGAAGCCTTTGAGGGCCCCAAATCGCTGAAAACCTGAAGGGAATTAATGATATCTGCGTTTCCGCACTTCCCCTTCTATACGATTCCCAGCCTTGCGCAGGGCCTCCAAGGGAGTCCCTGGACGCAAGAAGCGACCAACATGATACTACATGAGTTAGCCGATCAAGCCCAGCTAGAACGTGTGCGCGCGAAGCACGCGCGATTGTTCTAGCGCGCATCTATATATCTATCTATCTATATATATAGGCGTATACATGCATGCGGGGTAAGCTACGTGGTGTAAGCGATATTGTGAAACCTATGTCGTCTCAGCTCAGAGCACGGGGCGCCCACGAGGCGGCACGGGCGGCAACGTGGCGCCAGCTCGGCACAACGCCCAAGCGCGGGCGGCCACGAGGCGGCAACGGCGGCAGCGTGGCCGGCATACCCCTAGCGCGCGGGGCGCCCACGAGGCGGCCACGGGGCGGCAGCGCGGCGCAGCCTCGGAGTACCCCCCAGGCGTGGGGCGCCCACGAGGCGACGCGGGCGGCACCGTGGCGAAGACCTGGGATACCATATTCTTACCAGCCTGGAACATCTCCCTATCCCTATGCTGGGCATCTCCTCATCACGATGCCAGTCTTATGGATTCCCGTATTTCTTGAGGGCGCATCCCTAAGATTGTCATCGCCTTTTGGCATGTCAATCTTAGGGATAGGGATATGTTCGAGGCTGGTAAATATTCGTTTCCTTCAGGAAGGGAAGTCAGAAACCCTAAGTGCAAGCACTGACGGGGGAAGATGACACCCTTGCCGCAGCATGCTCTCAACAGCTCTACTCAGTTACGAAAGGGTGCCACGATGGAGAGGGGCATCTTGATGCGGAAGGTTCGGATTTTTGGTTCGTGCCCCTCCCTCTTGGAGCCGTCTTTGGGCCGTCTTGGGGGCTTCTTGGGCCGCCTCCGGGGCCGTCTTGGGGCTCTCTTGGGCCGGCTTATCGCCTTCTTGGAGGCCTCTTGGGCAGTCTTGGGCGGTCTTGGCGGCCTCTTGGCCCGTCTTGGACCGTCGGAAAGCGTAAAAGGCGAGAAGGCTCAAGACGTACAAACACTTCAGGACAATCAATGATCTTTGCCTATCCGGGCCCTCTTGTGACGTGTCTTGAAGGCCTTTGGGTGCGTCTTGGACGCTTTTTGGGCCGTCTGAGGGCCATCTTTGGCGTCTTGTAACGATCACTGGGCGTCTCGTAACCCTCTTGGACCGTCCTGGGGGCCTCCGGTCCGTCCGTGGGCCCTCTGGGGCCCCAAAAGTCGCGCGAGAAGGTGCCCCGGAGCCCAGGTGAACCGTGCGAAGCCCAAGAAGATTTGAGAATGTGTGGCCCGGGCCCCAAGGAAACTCGCCAGGAATGGGAACTGAGGCTGAAGGGATGAAGCAAAGGACCTGAGGACACGCTCATTCCGTGCCCAGCGGCACGATGGCGAATATCATTGTGTGCGCTTGGATGAAGATGTATATGTATATATATATACACATATATTCTCATACGCACCTCTCCGAGGGAGTAGAGCTCAGAGGCGATTAATGCGGACGTCGTCCGCGATTTTTCTGGCCGTTTCGCTCGGGACATCCTCGAAATTCTGAAAATCGGTGGCACCCCTCACGCAGATCGTGACGTCAGGGTCCAAAAGACATTTGAATTTCAACATTTTAACATAAAACCTTCAAAAACACATGGTAATTTCAATAATTTTGACCCCGATTCTCAGAGAATGGCGGTTTCGCCTGAGACATCCTCCCAAAATCGAGCCCCAGACCCCTCCTCGGAGCCTCCTGGGGGCCTCCTGGAACCTCCTGGGGCCTCCTGGGGCTTTCTGGACCTTCTGGTACCCCAGACCCCGCCTCGGAGCCTCCTGGAGTTCTCCTGGGCCTGCTGAGGCCGCCTGGGGCCTCCTGGGGCCTCCTGGGGCTTCAGAACTACATGCACACACAGAGACACAAATCACGCCCAACACATCACACGCTAGACAAACATAACATACACACACAACACCGACAACACACAAAAAGCACGCACCACACAAAGCACACATCACACACACAACACTCACAATCCTGGGGCCTCCTGGAGCCTCTTCTGGTATCCAAGTCGGGCCTCCTGAGGCTTCCTGGGGGGCCCTGGTACACACATCGCAAGGTGTGGCAACCCCACTTGCGCTCGAGTGCGACTTCGTTGTCGCATGTCACTCCTGCTTCAAACGCCCCTTCAGCTTGTTGTATGAGCCTGGGCACACACATGCCACTTGTATATATCTATATATATGTGTATACACACATCCACCGGTAGGGGCATTTATGCAACATTCACATGTTGACATCTACACATATATGTGCATACACACACATATTCCATATCACATATCATATACATAGATATTTACGTCGATGCTCATTCCTCTCTCTCTCTATGTATACACACACGTTTCCACACTCCACTGTGCCCCTGTAGTATCTGAACTGTTTTTGTTTTTTTGTATGGGTTTGTCTAGTCTCTCATCCTGAGATCTGTCTCCCCCCCTGGCGGCAGATCCCTCAGTCAATAAATGTCCATAGGTGCTCATTCATTGCTCGCTATGTTTGTACGTGTACATGTGTTGTGTATGGCTAATACTGCGTGATGAATATGTGCCAGTGTGGTATTCTGCAATACGCGTGTGTGCTATCCGTCTCTTTCCCTATGTTTCCGTACATGTATACATAGACCAACATGGTGAAATATGATTGCCCTGAGTAGTGCGCCTACCCACTGAACTCGCTCTGCCCTCCTCCTCCCTGAGACCCCTTTCCTATCCACTTAGCTGTGCTCCGTACTCTCTGATCTGTCTTCCCGCACTCTACAATACTCTCTCATTTTGACCGTGGTCGCCAGGATCTGGGCACTTGACCAGCACCAGGAACTCGAGAACCTGGAGACCGTACCGTGCTTGGAAATCCGTACCCAGAACAAGGAATCCGGGAACCCAGCCGCTCACCGAAGTCGGTCCAGAACGTGGAATCGGGAGCCAGAGAACCTGGCCGCTCACTGGAATCGGCCCGCAGTTTTCGCCAATCGTGCCAGTCTTTCAGTGCAACTACCGCGTGGGGAACAAACGGGCAATACCATGGTTGCCAGGTCAAGGGAACGTTGCCTCTGTCGGGAAGTTGCGGCGCAGTAGCGCGCAATTTCCGCAACGGGAGCTTGGGCAATTCGGGAGGGTCAGGGCAAAGACGTATCAGGGCCATCCGTGCGAGTTCTATTGTTGCGCGTTTGGATGCCGCTGGTGGGTTGGAAGTTGTGCGGACTGTCTTCGCCCCGGGCAAACAGAAACGTATGATTGTTTCCAGGGTGCTTAACTCAGACAGCGAGAGGGTTTGCTTGCAGGGCTGTACGTTATTGGGATTCGCGCGGTAGTACTGGGTCTTTCGCCCGAGATGTCCTCACACGGACGCATCGGGGCGCTGTGGATCGCATTCACACCGCTTGCCGTTCGAGCATTCTTGCCCGAGGCTGCGCGAGTGGAGAGGTAGCAGGTAGGCAAGCACATCTGTTGCATTGCGGGAGGGAGAGAAGGCGAGGCGAGGCAGCAGCCTTGGAGCAGAGATTTTGTAACTAAACGAGCGGATGGGACGTAAAGGCGGGCGCGGACCGGAGGAAGAGGGGATGGAGAGTGGCACAGGGCGCGAATCCTTCAGGACAGGCAGAACCCCACGCTGCCAAGTAGGTTTGCGAACCCGCCCGGGGGATTTGTACTCGGCCTCTCGGGACGGCGGTGTGGTCGCCATTTTTAGTGGGCCTGCGCCAGCGGGGTTGGGTCCACAGGCCGTTTTCGCTACAGCGTATTCTTCATGGCGCCCTGGCCCCTATCAGCAAAAAAGATACGTGAAGCAAACCATGTGTGGCCGAAAGCCCGCCCTAAGTTGTGTCCGAAAACGTAGTGTGACATAGTTATTGCTTGGAATTCAAAGCCGCATTGGTTTCAAATCGAAGCTGTCGGTCACTCTCGGGCGCGTGCGGTACAGTTTGGGCGCCGGTTTCGATCACACTCGGTCAGAGACGATAAAGAGACGAGGCTACGTGATGTCATGCGTATTGGGCCAACTCCGACACCCGCCAACGCCGCCCAGGGGTGCACCGCCGTCCTCTTGGGCGCGAACTTGCAGCAGGGTTTGCGGTGCTCGGTCGGAGAGGCCCCCAACGGCACCACTGGAGACCAGCCGGGGCAGGACGGCGCATCCCTCTCCTTTCTTATTTTGTTGTGGTGTGCCTTCCACGAGTTGTACATCAGGAGCAACTGAACGAACGTTGGAAGCTGGAAAGAGGATTTGAACATGGAGAGGGGGAGGGACAACAAATAGCCTCACGAAAACATCAGGACTGAGTCGCTTTACAATTATTGACAGATTTGTTCTTTATCCTCTGGCGCGTAGCGGTCGCTACCCGGGCTAACCCTCCCCCAACAGGTATAACGGTAACGATCGTACGTGGGAGGGTCCGACCCCCTCGCCCCCACACATGCTGGTGTGGTGCTCGCGCGCGCGCGTACTGTCACGATTGCAGCGCACCTCTGCTCTGGCATGATCCACCCTGCTCAAGCGTCACCGTCACCCTGGAGCCCCCCCCCCCAAAGGGCAACGACCGTTACCAAAAATACTTTCACTTTTAGCTAGCGCGGGCCACAAGCAGTGCATTCTTTGGTAAAGTGTTGTGCAGTCTATGCTTTGCAGTCTACGTGATGCAACCTGTGTGGTGCAATCTAGATTTGCAATCTAGGTTTTGCCGTATCTTGTGTGCCATCTACTTTGTGCAGTTTGTGATATGCCATATGTGGTGTACAATCTATGCGCAACAATATAGGTTGTTGTGTGCAATATCTGTTGAGCCATTCGAGTGGTGCAACCAATGTGGTGCAGCCTATATGGTGCAATTAATTTCTGTTCGCAGTGAGTTGTCCACTCCACTGCTCGCGCAAACATCCCACCCACCCACCCGCAACTTGGTTTGCAAAATCTCTTAAGACCGTGACGTTGGGTACCAAATGGCACTTGGCAACGACAGCGACGCCGACGACGACAGCGACAACGACGACGACGACACCGCCGACAACGACTACGACGACACCGACGACGTCTCCAACGACTTCGACGACGCCGACAACGACGACGACGACAACGACGACACCGACGACGACGACGACGATGCCGACGCCGACGACGACGACGAAGATGACAACGACGACGACGATGACGACGCCGACGACGACGACGATGACGACGCCGACGACGACGACAACGACGACGACGCCGGCGACGACGACGACGACGATGGCGGCGACGACGACGACGCCAACGTCGACGACGACGAAGACGACGACGACGTCGCCAACGAAGACGACGACGAGGGAGGAGGGAGGACGACGACGGCGTCAACGACGACAACGACGACAACGACGAGGGAGGAGGGAGGACGGCGACGACGCGAACGACGAAGAAAGAGGAAGGACGGCGACGCCGACGACGACAACGACGCGGGAGGAAGGAAGACGACGACGACGACAACGACGACGATGACGACGGCGACGGAATAGGAGGGACGACGACGAGACGCCGACGACGGACGACGGCGTCGACGAGAGAGGAGGAGAAAGGACGACCACGGCGACAACGACGTCGGAAACGACCACGACGCCAAAGAGGACGACGACGACGAACACGAGGAAAGACAGAGGACGACGTAGGCAACGACGACGGCGACGCGGGAGGAGGGAGGACGGCGACGACCACGACGACGACGACGCAAGAGCGTGCGCGCACGCTTTTGTTGAAAATCCGTGTTGCGAAACAGTGTGTTTTTGTTGGTTCTTTGGGCACACGATTTTGAAGTCCTTCCGAAACCGAAGGGTTTTGAAGGATTTCGGCATACGCGCGCGACGGCTCGTGCGTCTGCATTTCTTTGTCTTTTGTTGCAGAGGATTCTCGCGACGGCACGCGCGCAAGGGCGTTGGACAGATTTCGACATGCGCGCGCGCGAAGCCCGTTTGGTAACAATTTGTGCAAATCATGAAAAACCCATGGTTGTCTTAAGATTTCGCAAGAGCTCGCGCGTAAGCCTGTTTAACAAATCAGTGTTGTGAAACCCTGTGTTTCTGTATGTTTGTTTGGAAACTCGATTGCGAAATCCTTCCGGCACCGAAGGTTTTTGAAGGATTCCGGCATGCGCGCGCGACGACGCGCGCGTGCGCTTTTCGTTCCGTTTTTTGCAAGGGGGTCGTGGACAATGTTATGTTAGAGCAAAAGATGTCCCCGCGTATCGTTTTCACAAGGGGACCTCAAGGGGGGCCGATACCGGCCCCTGGCATAGTGGGAAGTCATATTCAGGATGGACATGTTGTCAGAATCATATATGATTTACATACCCGAAAGGGGTGCGGATAACGCCGGGGGGTAGAGTCTATTATCTGTTTAGAAAAGAGAATCGACGTGGTGCAATCCACTTTGACCGTCTTGAAGCTGTCCTCTCCGCTGCTCGTGCAAACATCCCACCCACCCACCCGCAACTTGGTTTGCAACACCTCTTAAGACCGACTACGACGACACCGACGACAACGATTAGGACGACACCGACGAGGTCTCCGACGACGTCGAGGATGACAACGACGCCGACGACGACGAAGACGACGACGACGACGACGCCAACGATGGCGACGACGAGGGAGGAGGAAGGACGACGATGGCGACAGCGACGACAACGACGAGGGAGGAGGGAGGACGGCGACGACGCGAACGACGACGAAGGAGGAAGGACGGCGACGCCGACGACGACAACGACGAGGGAGGAGGGAAGACGACGACGACAACCACGACGACGACGGAGACGAAATAGGAGGGACGACGACGAGATGCCGACGACGGACGACGACGACGACGTGGGAGGAGGAGGAAGGACGACCACGGCGACAACGACGACGGAAACGGCCACGACGCCAAAGAGGACGACGACGACGACGAACACGAGAAAAGACAGAGGACGACGTAGGCGACGACGACGACGACGACGCGGGAGGAGGGAGGACGGCGACGACGACGGCGACGACGCAAGAGCGCGTGCGCGCACCTTTTTGTTGAAAATCCGTGTTGCGAAACCATTGGTTGTTGTAGGTTTTTTGGACGCACGATTTTGAAGTCCTTCGGAAACCGATGGGTTTTGAAGGATTTCGGCATACGCCCGCGACGACGCGCGCGTATGCACTTCGTCTTTTTTTTCTGTTGCAGAGGATTCTCGCGACGGCACACGCGCAAGGGCGTTCGACAGATTTCGACATGCGCGCGCGCGAAACCCGTTTGGTCGCATGGTTTTCTTAAGATTTCGCAAGAGCTCGCGCGGAAGTTTTTTTAGCAAACCAGTGTTGCAAAACCATATGGTTTTGTATGTTTTTTGGAAACTCGATTGCGAAATCTTTCCGGCACCGGAGGTTTTTGAAGGATTTCGGCATGCGCGCGCGACGACGCGCGCGTCTGCACTTCGTTTCATTTTCTGCAAGGGATTCGCGAACAAGTGCTATGTTAGAACAGAAATGTCACCGCATAGTGTTTTTTGTACAAGGGAACCTCAGGGGGGGGAACCCGGCCTAGCTGGAATGGTATGTCTTCATATTTCGAATGGACGAGTGTGCAGAAAATAAATGACATCATACTATCCCAGGGAGGGCCGATAAGTCCCGGGGGGGTAGAGTTTTTTTGTTTGAAAGGAGAATCCATTCTGCTGAACTGGGAGTCGTCATCTCCACCGCTTGCGCAAACATTCCACCCTCCCACCTTCAACTTGTTTGGCAAGACTCATGATGCGGGGGGCGGCGGCGCCGTCGATGACAACATTGATGATAACATCCTCAGTTCCGATGCGCGTCACCGTGAGTCGATGATGAAGGTGAGCATCTCGACGATACTCGGACGTGCGCGGTGGCAAGATAACGTCGGCAACGTTTGCGACAATGGCGAAGGTGGCACCAACGACGACGATGTTCAAGAGGGCGACGGCACGAACGATAACAGCACCAATGATGGCAAGCACGTTGGCGATGCTGATGTCCACTTGCCGATGAGGCAGGTGATTGCGCTGATGCTGACAAGGTTGGAATGGAAATCAGCGCGCGCTCAAGTTCAATAAATCCGTCAGACTGATCATGCGCGCGCGGCGGTTAGCGCGCGTGGCCCGCGTGGTCTTTGTTGCAATGGATTCGCGCCCTCGGCGCATGACAGGAGTATCGCGGGTGCGCCGCGTGGTGGCGTGCAATCGCTGGATCTGGCAGAACTCATGAGAACCCGATGGTTTTTGCGTGACTTTAGCATGAGCGCGCGGACAGGAAATCTACAAGATTGCGTTGCCAATCTTTGGGTTTCAAGGTTGTACGTCCACTCCTGCTGAACTTGAAGTCGTCATCCCCACTGCTCGCGCAAACATCCCACCCACCCACCCGCAACTTGCATTGCAAACCTGTTAAGACCGACTACGACGACGCCGACGACAACGACTAGGACGACACCGACGACATCTCCGACGACTTCGACGACGACAACCTCGCCGACGACGACGACGCCAACGAAGGCGACGACGAGGAAGGAGGAAGGACGACGACGGCGACATCGACGACAACGACGACGACGAGGGAGGAGGGAGGACGGCGACGACGCGAACGACGACGAAGGAGGAAGGACGGCGACGACGACAACGACAACGACGAGGGAGGAGGGAAGACGACGACGACAACGACGACGACGACGGAGACGAAATAGGAGGGACGACGACGAGATGCCGACGACGGACGACGACGACGACGTGGGAGGAGCAGGAAGGACGACCACGGCGACAACGACGACGGAAACGGCCACGACGCCAAAGAGGACGACGACGACGACGAACACGAGAAAAGACAGAGGACGACGTAGGCGACGACGACGACGACGACGACGCGGGAGGAGGGAGGACGGCGACGACGACGGCGACGACGCAAGAGCGCGTGCGCGCACGGTTTTGTTGAAAATCCGTGTTGCGAAACCATTGGTTTTTGTGGGTTTTTTGGACGCACGATTTTGCAGTCCTTCGGAAACCGATGGGTTTTGAACGTTTTCGGCATGCGCCCGCGACGACGCGCGCGCGCGCACTTCGTCTCATGTTTTTGCAGAGGATTCTCGCGACGGCACACGCGCAGGGGCGTTCGGCAGATTTC